GCAACCTCTCCTACTCGGTCCAAAATCTCAAACGGTCCAATAAATCGTGGCGACAACTTGCCACTTTTCCCAAATCTCATCAATCCCTTCCGTGGAGAAATCTGTAGAAAAACGTTGTCTCCCACCTCAAAGGATAACGGTCGTCTCCGCTTATCCGCATAGCTCTTCTGTCGGCTCTGAGCTGTAAGTAACCTCTATCTTATCAACTTAATCTTCTCAGTAGTCTCGAGTACAATGTCGAGTCCTAAGGCGGCTGTCTCGCCTACCTCAGTCCAACAAACAGGAGACCTACAAGGTCTACCATACAACGCCTCAAATGGAGCCATCTGGATGCTCGCCTGATAACTGTTGTTGTAGGCAAACTCAATAAGTGGAAGGTGATCCTCCCAACTACCTCCCAAATCAAATACACATGCCCGAAACATATCCTCCAAAATCTGGATAGTACGCTCTGACTGACCGTCTGTCTGTGGATGGAATGCCGTACTAAGATGCAACGCTGAACCAAACACTGATTGAAGTCCTTCCCAGAACTTCGAAGTGAACTTAGCATCCCTATCTGAGACAATGGTTACAGGAACTCCATGCAACCTTACAATCTCCTTCACATAAAGAACACCAAGCTTCTCTGCATCATCTGTTGCCTTAATAGGCAAAAAGTGAGCCGTCTTGGTCAATCTGTCAATGATGACCCATACGGCCTCATTGCCCCTTCTTGACCTTGGAAAACCTGTCACAAAATCCATAGCGATATGCTCCCATTTCCATTGCGCTACAGGTAATGGTTGCAACAAACCTACTGGCCTCTGATGCTCGGCCTTCACCTGCTGACAGGTAAGGCATCTAGCCACAAACTGTGCAACATCATTCTTCATCCCGTTCCACCAATACTGACGTCTCAAATTGTGATACATTTTAGTACCACCTGGATGAACTGCAAAGCGGGAAGTGTGAAACTCCCGTAGGACGTCCTCACGACAACATGTGAGAACCACCAACAAACCCCTGAACCGTAGACCCCCATCTGCATGCAAGGCCCAATCTTTCACTGTCTCACCACTAGAGATCAAAGCGTGGATGGCATCTAAGTCCGGGTCCTGTCTCTGTGACTCAATCACTCGTACAACAAGAGTAGGCTGAGCCACAAGACTAAATAAGAATGCCGACTCACTGCAACCATCATTATCATAACACTGTAATCCCATCTCTGCCAGATCTTCAAGTATCTTCCATTTCCGAATAGCTAAACTGGCCAAAGTTCCATGAGATTTTCGGCTTAAGGCATCAGCTACAACATTTGCCTTGCCCGGATGATACTGCAAATCAAAGTTGTAATCTTCCAAGTACTCAACCCATCGTCTCTGTCTGTTGTTCAAGTCCTTTTGGGAAAAAAGGTACTTGAGACTTTTGTGATCTAAAAATACCTCGAATCTCTCACCATACAAGTAATGTCTCTAACACTTCAAGGCAAACACAACTGCCGCTAACTCCAGGTCATGAGTAGGGTAGTTGTACTCGTGAGTCTTCAACTGTCGAGACCCATAAGCCACTACTTTACCATCCTGCATCAACACACATCCCAACCCGTCATGTGAAGCATCACAATAGATCACATAATCCAAGCCACGCTTAGGTATCACCAACACTGGCGCTGTAGTCAATCTCGTCTTCAACTCCTGAAAAGATGAATCACAGGCCTCATTCCAGACAAACTTGACCCCTTTCCGGGTCAAACGGGTCATAGGAGCTGCCAAACGGGAGAAATCCTTCACAAATCTCCGATAGTAACCCGCTAAACCAAGGAAACTGCGGATCTCAAACACATTCTTGGGTCGCTCCCAAGTCAAAACTGCTTCAACCTTTGATGGATCAACTGATACTCCACCTTCTGAAACAACATGCCCCAAAAACTTCACCTCCTTGTAGCCAAAACTCACACTTCTCGTATTTGGCATACAATCGGTGCTCCCGCAAAATCTGTAAAACAATACTCAAATGGACCTCGTGATCTTCCCAAGTCCGTGAGTACACAAGAATGTCATCCACAAAAACTACCACAAACTGGTCCAAGTAATCGTGAAAGACGTGGTTCATCAAGTCCATGAATGCCGCTGGCGCATTAGTCAAGCCAAAAGGCATAACAAGGAACTCATAGTGTCCATACCATGTACGGAATGCTGTCTTCGGGATATCCTCGTCCCTAACCCGTAACTGATAATAGCCAGACCTCAAGTCAATCTTCGAGAAACAACTGGCTCCCCTCAACTGATCAAATAAATCATCTATCCTTGGCAAAGGATACTTGTTCTTGATGGTGGCACGATTCAACTTCCGGTAATCAATGCACAACCTCAAAGATCCATCTTTCTTCTTAGCAAACAAGACCGGTGCGCCCCACGGTGACACACTCGGTCGGATGAAACCTTTCATCCTCAAATCATCAAGCTGCCTCTTCAATTCTTCCAATTCAACTGGTGCCATACGATACGGTGCCATAGAAATCGGCGCAGTACCGTGCATCAAATCAATAGTGAACTCCACTTCTCGGTGTGGAGGCAACTCTGTCAAATCTTCTAGAAAAACATCCAAGAAGTCACAAACAATCACCGGATAAACTTCTCCCACGACATCATCTTCTTCGGCTAGAAGACTAGATAAGAAATAATCACCACGACTTCGTCCACGAACTCCATAAAACGATGAAATGTGGGAATCACTCCGATCTCCCACGAAAAAGAAACAGTTTCCCTCGGGAGTGCAAACTGTAACCCTTCCTCTGTAACAGTCGATCGTGGCATGAAATGAATCCAACCAATCCATCCCGAGAATGACATCAAAGCTAGTCATCTCCAGGAGGATAAGGTCAAACACAAAGGTCCGCTCGGCTATTACAATGGAGCAATCCCGCACAACTCGGCTCAATGACATTGAAACCCCAACTGGCGTGTCAACACATAACTCCCGATCCATGAAACTAACCTCTAACCCCGATGCAAGTGCAAATGATGATGAAATGAAAGAATGAGATGCACCAGAGTCAAACAAAACACGGGCCCAACAACCAAACGCTGGAAATATACCTCGAAGAACTAACGGTCTAGAAGATGCATCGGTCTGTGCCAGTGCAAAAACACGTCCCTGTGGTACCTGTGCCTGAGGACTGCCAACCTGAACACCTGACTGCTGCACTGACATAGTAGGAGTATCCCTCCTAACTGATCGTGAACCCTGTGAAGACATAGTAGGCTGTGGTGGTGGTGGTCTGAAACCTGACTGAACTGTAGCCGATTGTGACGGCCTCTGCTGTGACCCTCTGCCACTAATGGTGCCTGCTCTCTGATTCGGACAATCACGAATCAAGTGACCCTGCTGGCCACACCCATAACAAGCCTTCGGAGCTGACGAAACTGAAGACGATCTCATCGGACAACTGGACTTGTAATGTTCGGGCTGCTGACACTGATAACAAACAACTGCACTCCTGTGAGGTCCAGCTGGCATAGGAGTGGTAGGAGCAGATCTTGTAGACTGTTGCCCCTGAAACTGAGATGGACTGCCCCTGTTCCTTTTCCAAGAAGATCCTTCTGAGGATGGCCCTGCACCCCTCTTTTGCTTTAATTGCTCTCTTCTTGCATCTTTCTCTCTATTGTCAACCTTCAGCATCAAAGCCTTTTCCACTGCTTCAGAGTAAACCTTAATAAACTGTGCCGTGATCAACGGCCTCATTCGATCATTAAGACCCGAGACAAACTTCCGAGTCTTATTAGCTTCATCTCTCACCACTTCTGAAGCAAAACGGGAGAGTGAGGTGAACTTGTTCTCATACTCCGCCACTGACATGTTCCCTTGAATAAGATTATGAAACTGGTCTTGTAACTCCCATCTTTTGGAAAGTGGAAAGTATTTTTCATAGAACAGTTCCTTGAACCTGTCCCAGCTCATCTCTTCAATCTTGTACTGGTTGGTGACTGACTTCCACCAAACCTTAGCATCCTTAGCAAACTTATACGTAGCTAGGATGATCTTTAGATGATCCTCTGTCACATCCATTGAAGTTAGTTGGGTTTCAACTTGATCCAAGTAGTCATTTGCTACCATTGGATCCGCACTGCCCTCAAACATAACCGGCATCAGCTGAGAAAACCCCTTTATGATCTTGAGACGCTTTTGAGCTGGCGTGGCGTCTCTTCAACTTGAACTGTAGGTTGTGGTGCCGACTGCGACTGAGCAACAATCGTTGCCCTCATGACATTCTGCAACAAACGATTAAACTCCAGTGCCACAGTAACTTTCACCCACTTCTATGGGTACGGGTGTTTCAACATTCTCTCTTCTTGGGGAAACAGCTCTTGGGGGAATCAAGTCCCTAAGAAGTATGTTCTCATCAACTAGCTCCGCCGGATTGGAGCTAGAGCTCTCACCAACATCGCCCCTTGTTGGCCTAGGGCCAACTTCTCTAGGTTCCTCACGCCGTGACATCGTGAGTAACAAATTTATTTTAAAAAATTTTTTTTAAATTTGTTTAAATTTTTAAATTTTTAAAAAAATTTATTTAAATTTTTTTAAAAAAAACAAATTTATTTAAATTTGTTGCTGTAACGCCAGTAACAAATTTATTTAAAAAATATTTGAAAAAAAAAATTTTTTACGTCCAAACAAACGGACGGAATCTATCGGCTCTATAAAATACCATATTTTCGCTCGCCCTTCCCATCAATGGACGATGCTGGGAGAGGAAGGCTAATCATAGACCTGACCTTTTATGTCATTTGTGTGAAAATGACTTCTCAAACTTGAAATTGCATTTTTACATTTAACAGCTCGAACTTTTATCAGTGCACAAGTAGCGACCCCTTCTGCAATCTGTAATCAATCTTTCTTACAATTAAAAGCCAGAAAACTAAATCCTGGTAAGCAAATAACCAAAAATAAAAATAATACAAAACAAATCACTTGCATGTAATGGATCAAATAAAGCAGGTAATGCAATAGCTTAAAAATTTGAGGAAGTGATCTTTTTCATTCAATAATGTTTTGAAGGATGGACATCTCACTTCCACAATCATACCATCACCTTAATCAGGAAGGCTTCACGGGTTTAACCAGAAGTTTATGTAACATACGAGTAATTTCTTTCTTGAGAGACAGAGAGAATCGCAAACCACGGTATTTTCCAAGCGCTATCTGTAGGTGTTTAGGCCACCTTAATTGAGATGATGCACAATCAATGGAAGTACACAGTTCTTCTCCAACACTAAAACTACAAATTGTTGTAATTTTGATATAACAGAAAGATGCAGGTCTGTAGAGGAATCAAGGTCCACCAATGTCACCAAAGTATGGGTGAATCAGTGCATCATAAGCTGTAATTCTTTCTCTTGGGTTGTAGCGAAGCATTTTCTGCATATCAAAAGCTATCGTATGAGTATTAAGAGTTAAAATTTTGTAGCTGAACCCGTAAAGCTACGTTTTTTATTTATTATTTTCTAAGACAAAAGATGCTTTAAAATCATGTACTTTATATTTAATGAACTATTTGCCCAATTGTCATAACTAGATATGCCGGTGTCCATCTTAAAAGTTGCTAATCCCAAGTGGCCATGGGACAAGCTTCCTCTGAGTTGCTATACTACATTACTAATCAATAATTTGCAGCCAAATGAATTCTTGGCTCCTCAGGACAGAGCCGAGGACTTCTAATTTCCAATTAATTATAATGAAGAGAAACTTACAGAAAGAAGATCGACTCCAGCTGGTTCAAGATTCGGAACTACTTCTGCCAGATTCTGCATCCAGAAGAAAAAGAAAAAAAGTAAATATATTTCTAAGATTCTAAAGCAGGAAAATTAAACCACAACCAGTACTACCTTGGGAGGAGTATTCTTGGCAATATCCAAAAATAGACGATGAAAAGTCACTTCAGGCCAGGTCTGTTCATCTGGTATGCCCAATAAGCTTCATTAAAATAAAGATGTAGTTAGTATAGCACCATCACAAGGCATTAAGATCCGAACAATCAGTGTCCAAAATAATATACCACCTGAAAATTTTGCGTACAAGTTGAAAATAATGTGAAGCACCAAAGAGAGGCTCCTGGTTACACATCTCAGCAAATATACATCCCACAGACCACATATCAGCTTCAGCGGAGTATTTCAAACCATTTAAGAGTTCAGGTGCAACATAAATTTGAGTTGCTATCTGAAGTGAAACACCAACAATATGAGAACATAGACAGCAATTGCTAGTGGAAAATTCAGAGTGAAATGAAATTAAAGGTACTGAATGTGGTGCTAAAACCTGCTTAGACATTGTTATTGCCATTAAATCAGAACAGGGTATTTTAAGAAATTGTTTTTGCCTTCTTGAACCATTTACGTTTTATATTAGTATTTTTAGTCAGAAGTCCATCATCTTGAATGTATAAAATTGAGAAATAATGTATAAAATCATGATTTTTTCTGCTTCAAAGGGAACCTAGAAAAGGCCATGGAGAAGAAATATGGTTGCACTAAAAATAACACCGAGCCTTTAGCTCAAGTGTTATCACCCCCTCCTCCCACTTGGGAGGTTAAGGGTTCAAATCAGTATAGAGGCAATAGTGGGTGTTTGTTTAACCTAGAGAGAGAGAGAGAGAGAGAGAGAGAAATTTATGACAAAATGTTATGTAATATCAAATAGGTCTGATTAAAATTCAAGAGACGTCCAGACAAGCCCCATTGCAAGTAACCCCACAATTTTCTAAAAAATATGTAGCCAAGAAAACCTATTCTTGTTTCCCCGTATAAGCAAAGCAGCAAGTAATATGAATTCATTTCCAAGTGGAGGTTACAGAAAACATGCATACCAAGTGTCACTAAATTTCTCGTGTTAAAAAAAATTAGTGCAATTTTTATTGAAATTTATCTGATGACAGTTTCCAATAGAATACATTATAAAGAAAATACTAAAACATCATCTGCGGTGCAACCTACAAATGATTCAGTTTCTAACCCACAAAGCTGATAGTGGTAAAGCTCAGACTAAAAGCTCAAAAAATCCAAGAGAAAGCTGAGACAGTGAAAGGTGAATATTGGTACCTCGTTGCCTTCAGTACATTTATTGAGAGGACCACCAACTGGCCTGGCTGATCCAAAGTCTGCAAGCTTCAGGATTTTTTCACTAGAGTTTATCAGCAAATTCTGTGGTTTAAGATCTCGGTGGACAAGTTTGTGAGAATGACAATAGGCAAGACCACTGAGCATCTGATGCAGAAAACTCTGCAGGGAAAAAGAACAAGAGAAAGTAGATCATGAAATTAACTGTTGATATCCCTTATTATCATCATTATCACCTTAAATTTTAGTACTTAATAGGGGGCGTTAAGATGCTACATGAAAATTAAATCGTCAAATATGTTATGTATGGCATATGAAATATTCTTTTCCTTTTGTTAGTGTTGAACTAGTCTAGCAGTACTTGTTTTACTTTTTTTTTAGGTAAGCTACTTTACATTTTAGTCAGGTTAGAATTTCACCTACAGTTCTTGTTCCACGTGCGTGTAGTCGTTTCTGTTTCCCATCACTAATATGTGTTAAAATGCATTGGAAATAAACATCAATTAAGTACATCCAAAAACCCTAAAAAAATGGAAAAATATCATGTGCTTACATAATTCACAATAATTACAAATAGTGAAGTCAGCATGAGTCAAGATGCAAACAACATTACGCTTACCCTGGAATCTTATAATTCAGACGGTTGACAAATTTTATCTTGTGCATTGGAGCAACTAAGCTTATAAGCTACAGAGTAGACGAGTAATAAATATTTTGAAATCGTTTACATATTATTAACATGGAAAATCTCACCCACTTTTATCAAATGTGGATTATTGGCAGTCTCTGAACGATTCATAAACTTCTTCAGATCAACATCCATATACTCGGAAACAAGATACACTTTATTCGTTCCATTCTCTACAGCTACATCTAACAACCTGTAAGCCAGAAGTCCATCAATTGATTTCTTAGGCTAACCAAGATGTACATAAACTTAACAGGTAAAAACAGCATGTGACTCAAAGTCAAAAGTCAACTTACAAATCCGTAAAACCAGTATCATAATCCGAGTTTGAAGGATTTTACTCTCAATATATACTACTTATTGTTTCGTAAAATTGCTGATATTTTTTCAGTGTGCAATAATGGAGGTGCAGGTTATGATTTTGCAATTGTGTTGGTGTTTCCTGCTGAAAGTAAAACTTATGTTAAAAAAAATTTCAAAAGTTCATCATATGAACAAAATATAACTACCAAAATCAAAACTCAAAACCTATTTGATGAAATACTTATAGTTATAAGAAATCATCCTTTTCAAACAAATTTTTATGTCACAAAACATAAGCCAGAGCAGTATGATTCATTGTGTTGGTATAAAGATGCTAGTGCCTTATTATATTGTTTAGAAATTTTTATCTCACATATTATCCTTTTCAAACAAAATTTTTATATCACAAAACATAAGCCAGAGAAGTATGATTCATCACGCTGGTATAAAGATGCTAGTGCCTTATTATGTTGTTTAGAAATGTATACATATGAGCAAGGCACTTATTATCAATATATGATGGCTTCCTCTCTTTTACTCAAAAGAGAATGGATACCCAAGCTCAATATTTAGAATTGGCAGATGTAAGGCGGAGATGACAGAAACTATTCTAACTGAACCTGAGAGATAGGCAAGTAAATTTGTCACCTACAATATTAACTTCTTAGAGGAAAGTATTTCATACAAGAGATGAAGTCCACCATCAATATGTGTCACAAAAAAATTTCCTAGATTAAAATTAACACATGGTATTGGGGCTTGCCATGCATCCGTAGGGGACTAATCTCACCCAAATGGTGGAGACGCTCCTGACCCCTCTAGTCACCAAAAAAAGAAAGAAATAAAAGAAACTTCGCCATCAATATGCCCATGTTTCATCAATCATACCATGAAAATTTGGGAGCTTCATACTAATCATATCTTGTTGAAATATATTTCAGAAATATTGAAGACTATAATATACATTTCTAAACTGTTCTTTTGAATGGATCTCTATCATGATTTAACTTTTGGAAAATTTAAGTTGCCAACATTAAAATGTTCTTAAAACCACATAAGAAGAGAGGTCCTTATACACGATCTGAATGAGACTAAATTTAATTCTCTTTTCCAAGGTTAAAATTAATTTGGAGAATGAGAGCAGTGAGTGTAGTGATCAGATACCCATGGCAGGTTTTATTACTTTTCCAAGTTTAATCTCCAGTTATTATATTTCATATTTTCATCGTATAATTTGTAATTTGTAAGTGTAAACCAACAGAAATAGTGGGGGAATTACTACCTGACAATATTGCTATGCTCCATCTCTCTCAACAAAGAGATTTCTCTGATTATTGAACTCGTCACACCTTCTTCTTCAAATTTGTCAAAAACATGAATTTCTTTTAAAGCAACAGTTTCCATTGTCTCCAGGTGATAGGCCTTGTAAACCGACGCAAAGCCTCCAACTCCAATATCCTCAAGTTTCTCGTACTGTCAATTCATCATCATCGTGAGATTCTAGAGGCAAAAACTAATGGAACAATTTCAGATAATACAAACCAAATAATAGTTTTTACCTTCTCCATACAATCGGGTCTCACTGCCCTGTCATAGAAAGAAAATACAAAGACAATGATTTAAATTTTACCGAGATGAAAACACATCGTAAAAAAATAAAAATCATAATCTGTAGAGTAATTGTCTTATGACTATGTTTGGGTTGTTTATGGAGGTCAGTTTTCAGTGGCGCATTAAAAAAATAAAAATCATAATCTGTAGAGTAGTGTCATATGCCTTCTACCTGACTCAATTCAAAATTTCTGTGGAACACAGGCCATATTGATGACGGAACACATATTTGTTCAATGAACTTCAAATTAAATTCATAATAAAAGTAGACCCCCTTATTTTAAGAGCTATTCGCAATGAAAACAAGAATCAAAGGTAACCTGTATTCAAGTTTATAGGCAACATATTGTCTCTTCAGACCTGAAATTTTGCCCTTCTGTGTAAACAAAGGTGTAGTGAAATGCAGATGATACGCTCGTTAGCATGAACATAAGCCATTTTCGAATGTTCTATTTCGGGGATTGAAGATTAAATTGATGTCTCTATATTTTTAAGAAAATTTGCGTCTTTCCATAAAGATCGCAGCAAAACTGTTTCAACTTGCAGAGTGGTTTTACACTCAAATTGAACTTTAAACCTGCATACTACAAGATAAAATTGCCAATTATCCGATTAATGGCTTGTTTTGGTTCTTCAATTCATGAGTAACCATCCAGAAATGAATGTTTATGAACCAAAATCTCTCATTTATCCAATCATGACCAAGTGGAAGACTGACATCAAACAAAGTTTATAAAATGCAAGCAACAACAAATAAACAAGTCTAGATAAAGTTATGATGCTACAATATATTGTCTATGATCCCTACCAAATATGTATGTGTGCATATATATATATATATTATATACGAAATTGCATAACAGTAGAAGCTATCGGAGTCATTCGGCTTTCTTTTCAACCACGATTTTCACTACGGATATGCGAGAATTTCACTTCAACAGTACCAAATGTTCAATTTTAGCTACGAAAGAATGTAGAGTTTTTTTTCCAAATGATAACAAAAAATCTAGGGTTTGCTTAGTTCATTCGGATAACAGTTTTTTTTTTATGAAAGAACTGCGCAAAAACAAACTCGTTAAAAAAATTGTCTATTTTCAAATATCTCTCTTTTATAGTTATCTTAGACTGACCAATCAAGCAAAACCCTAATTTTCTGAAGGCACAACTACAATATCAAAAAACAAAAAACAGTATGTGAAAATGAAATCTTATAACATGAAGAGAATTACTTATTTCGACAATATTGAATATTTAATCTAACACTCAAAATCAATCAGTAAACCATATCTGAGATTTTAAGGGCAAGAAATCATTATTGTGTATAGGTGAGTGAAATTATCAGATTTTTAAACCCTCAAAATCTTGAATACATATTAAAATAACGAAGTGAAGAAAACAGAAGAAAAAAATAATCAATTTACTATATTGGATACTTACAGAAAAAGTCTCTGATTCGCAGATGGTATGTTGAAGAATCCCTAATAGTCAAACTCTTGGAAGACCAAATTCAAATATCAATTACTAATAGACAGTTGTACTACTAATAGACTCCTAAATTATTCCTTCTTTTATATCAAATCGATCATAACCACTACCTACATTCCACGAAATTGTGGACCACAAATAGGAGCTAATAAAGAGACCCGCAATCCCATAAAAAGACATCACGAGCCCTTGTGGAAAAAAAATAATTTGCTGAGACGGAAATAAAGATATCAAATTTCTACCAAGATAACTGGAAATTCCAACCAATAAGAATCCTAATGAACCTAAAAAAATGATAAAGGCCCAGCAGAAATTACCTGTTTTTCGAGACCCCGTTATAAGTTCTATCCATATACGTTCTGATTTCTAAGCAAACTATCGCATATTTAATAGATTCCTGAGCAGCTGAAATTTTATCCAACATATATAAAATTGGTACATTTGATATTTATCCAACATATATAAAATTGGTACATTTGATATTTAGGATCAGATTTAATCTTTAATTTAATATATCGGTCTAGATTAATAAGGTGGTCCGACCGTAACGAAAGAGTTACAAAAAATAATCTTAAAAGAAAAGACTTATGTCACGTAATGTTATAAGATGTGACTTATTACCAAACATAATATGTGACTTAAATTTTGAAAGAGGCGTGAAAAGAATATATTTACATTTATATTTACATTTATAATACAGTTTTAAATTTTATTACTTTCACCCACCCAACTTAGCCCTCATCTAAATTTTTGGGCTTCCTCCCCGTCCTTTTCAGCTTGGAAGGTTGGGCTGCCTCTGGAAGCTTCCCATTAATTTTGGGCCTCCATTTTTTTTTTTTTTTTTTTTTTTTGGTCTTTTTTCCATTTTTAACCCTTCTTTCTCTCTACATCTAGAATCTCTTTATGATAAATCAATAACACAGCCTTTAGCAATTGACAACTAGTAGGTATATAGATGAAGGCTTAATTGGAAACCTAAAGTTTTGCCTTAGGCCCCACTTTTATTGAGTCGTGATTTTAACATTTTTAACCTCAATATTTCAAATTAATTGAAAACTTTATTTTTAAAAAAAGCATATAAAAGGAATATGTTTGGCCCAATAAATTTAAGGACAAATGCAACTGTTAATAAGAGATTATTACAGTATTACACTTTAAATACAATGGTTTATTATGGACTAGACCGTTGGTTTTTTAAGGACTGGACTGTCATAAAGACAGTGTGTTTGTATATTTCATCATTTATAGCGACTATTAATAATATGTATTTGTTGGACAAATTCAATTGATAACTTGATTGGCCCTCTTGGCATCTCAAGAATTTGTTATTATCTATTTAGGACCTTGTAATTTTTTTATGTTTTCAATTCCTAGGGTTTACACCATCATGAAGATGGTGTGTTGTACACTATATTTATAGTGTTTATCAATAGAACCTATTTGGATAAATTCAATTAATAACCTGATTGACCCTGAATTTGTTATTATCTAATTTAGGACCTTGTAACATAATTTTTTTTCCTTACAAACTCAAAAAATATATATTTGAAACGGTTAATAAGAATTGTAATCTTTAAGTCATTTATACTTAAGTGCTGATGTAATTCAATCACAAATATTCACATAATTTGTAATTATAAAATAAAAAAGGACCAAATAAGAAAATCAGAAAAAATTATTAAATTTATTTCAAAAAAAAATAATTATTATCCTTATTTTTCAAATTCAAACAACTTATAAATGAAACTACTAATGTTATTGGACCACATGGGATGACCTACTTTCCTTTTCCCTTTCTTTTTTAAATTTCAAACAACTTATAAATGAAACTACTTACTAATAAGAGATTATTGTAATTTTTTTAATTACACTTTCAATACAACTTTTATTATGGATTACACCATTCTAAAGATGGTGCATGTGTTGTACACCATACATTTAATCATTTATGGTGTCTATCAATATGGACAAATTCAATTAATAACCTTATTTGCCCTCTTGGCATCAATTTTTTTTTTTTTTTTTTTTTTTTTTTTTTTTTTTTTTTTTTTCAAATTCAAACAACTTATATGTAAAATAGTTAATAAGAGATTATTGTAATCTTGTTGAATTAAACTTTAATTGTAATGATTTATTAGGGATTACACCGTCATAAAGATGGTGTGTTGTGTACCATATAAGTTTATATCATCATTTATAACATTTATCAATGCATAAATTCAATTAATAACCCGATTGGTGCTCTTGGCATCTCTAGAATTCATGTTTATCTCTATTTAAGACGACCTTGCAACATTATTTTTTCCAAATTCAAACAACTTATATTTGTAATTTAATTCCGCGAGAAAAAATATATAGTTCCTTTGTTCTTCATAGGAAAAAATCAAAGGAAAACATTGATTATCCTCGCAATTTAACCATCATTTTTATTTATTTTTTAATAAATAAAAAGATAGGATTTCATGGCTCATTAAAAGCATTTTAAGTTAGGTTCTATAATTAGAAGAATCTGCAACCAATTATACTACTACCATTGATAATTCTTTTGAAATACCAACTGATGTATCAGTCACTCAAAGACTAAAACCAAGTTCACATTCTTCATTGTATTTTAAAATGTTTTAGGGAGTGTTCGACTGCATAGAATTGGATTTTTGGAATTGAAATTTGAGAAAATTTTGATTTTTTTTTTTGGATAAATTAGGGTATCCGAGGCTTTGGCCCAACTAATCCCGATCACCCAAGAAAGGCACCTCCCCACCGCAGGCCGGGTAGGTCACTGAGCGTGGCCACGCGGCCTCAAGTTGTCGTAAGCTCCTAGTGGGAATCAAACCCTAGATCTTGGTGCTAACAAGCACTCAAGCCTAGGTGATTTTGGTTCAATTTTCTTAATTGTTTTTCTCAAATTTTATCAATTTCAATACCAAGACTTCAATTTCAAACAACCGAACAAACTCTTAATCTTTGATTTTTGTCAGTGTCTGCTTCAACTTACATAAAGTCATGTTGAATCAGTTTTCCATTATCTTTGTTCTTTTCTTTTAATAAAATGACCTCAAGCAAGAAAACCCCACCATCTCAAAGATACAAAATTTGAAACTAAATAGTGCCTCCATTAAAATTAATCCAAACCCAATCAACATATAAAAGAAATACATTTACATTCATATATATATATCACCATGTGCACATACCTCCTAATATACAAAAAAGAACGTTTCAGCAATATTTGAAACTGAATCAATTGTTGTATTATAGAGTTCTTTGGCCTCTGTACATGCTTTTCTTCCCTCGCAACAACTTTTATCTACATTTCTCCTAATATTGATTCTCTAAACTAGATATACTATATATTCTAGTATAAATATGTTACTATTAGAAACAGTTTACTCCAAAAGAAAAATGTTTGGCTTCTGCCTCCTCGGCTGCCTCATGCACGTGGAGGTTCTTCTTCACTATCACCGAAGTTTCATCGGAAATTATTTCCTATGAGTGCTTGCACCACAAGCTTCTCAACTCTCCGGACTGTCGTCGGTCCTTCATTGTGGGAAGAAGAGGACACATTCTCCATTTATTTGTCAAAGATGTTAAGGAGGTTGTTTCTTGCTTCCTCCAAAAACTCCTCAACAAATGCTTTTGGATCCCATGGCTGAACATATAGCATGCAAACAAGTATAGAAATTGTATATTAATTGTTAGTTATTTTTGAACAACTACATTCCTAATTAATTAACATTTAGTAAATAATTTCCTGACCTTCGAGTGATGTGATCTTCGTGTATGAAAACCATAGAGGATGAATCTTGCTACTTCAGTAAAGGATCGAAATATCTTTTTCGATATCTCGTGATGATAAAACTGCAATGGAATTAAAATTCATTATACTAGTTTAAAAAAAGGCAAATTAAAAAAATCCAAATATTGAACCAACTAAAGTACCTTGTCGATTCTTTCACTGTTTGGACGTTGTCTTCTTTCGATAGCCCATCCTTCCAGCCGATTTGACAACGATATCCCTTGGTCTTCCTCCTGCAGTCGCAATTTTAGATAGTACTCTTAGAAAATTTGGCTTTGTAACATTGGGGTAGATGAGACCAATGGTCTCACGCAAATTTATATAAGGAAATTAAACTTGAAATATTAAGAAACATTTATTTTTTATTTTTTAAAAGAAGTAATATTAAGAACCATAACAATAACATTTCTAAAAAACATTGAAAATGAAAATGAAAATGAAAATGAAAGACGTCTAGAGAAAGTTGTTAATGACATTTGTGAATATCTATTTTATAACATGCAAAAATAACATACTTAAATGTGTGGCAAACAGACTTTTTAATTATTATCAAAGACAGAGAGAGTACTACATAGTCGTCAAAGACATTTATGACACACCATAAATACACTAAGTGATGACCGGTGCCTAATGCTTTCCTTGACGTCATCTAGTACATCTATTTATTACTAAAACAAAAACAAATGGATAAATGTATGCAGCAACTTAATAAATAAATGTACTAGATGACGTCAAGGAATGTATTAGGTACCGGTCATCACTTTAGTGTATTTATGGTGTGTCATAAATGCCTTTGACGACTATGTAGCAATCTCTTTATCTTAATTTAAAGGGTAAAGTGTATTAAACCCCCCTGAATTATTGAGATATGTGCAAGAAACTCTTCTGAATTATAAAAATTACAAAAAGACTTCCTGAATTATTGGGGTATATACAAGAAACCCTCCTGAACTATAAAAGTTGCAAAAAACCCCCCTGAACTATTGGGGTATGTGCAAGAAACCCCCTGAATTATATATTTTTCTGCAGTTTACCCCATCCGCGCTAATTGATTGACTGAAAGAGACGATGAAGCCGAGGAATTTGTGGCTGGGATCGGAGTGGTAGATGTCGTCTGAGGAGTGTTTGGATAAGCCAAGGAATCTTTTGCTGGGATCAGTGGGTCTCCTGTCATAGTTCTATCATAGTAGTTACACCACCCGCCAGATCTGTCGGCCATATATTTCGCACTTCTCTGCACCGTTGCGTCAGCCCATTGCCGTCACCGCCTTGCCTACCATTCAGTTTACCTTGCTTGCCGGTCCATTCCACCGTCCATTCCAAGCTCCCCGGCCCATTCCACCATCTTCATAGCCGAGCACACTGTCGTCCGTGTTTCGAGCACACAGTCATCCACAATTCACCGCCGA